TCCAGTCAACTCGTTCCCAAACCGAATGGAACCCAAAAGTCAACTCGTACCCAAAACCGAAGTCAACTTGTATCCAAGGTTTTATTTACAATTGTTAGAATTTATTTTTATATGAAAAAGTATAATTTTGAAAAAAAAAAAATAAGGAAAATCAGAATTTGAAGAAGAGAACTGTTTATTTTTCATAAATACTTTAATGGTGAAACATTAAATCAATTTCCCTTATAACTGCCGACTTCGAGAGAGGGATCTGGAAGGGACTACAGGAGGTGTTCCCCCAGGCCAGGATCCGTGAGCGTGTGTTCAACTGGTCCAAGGCGCTATACAAAGAAGTTCAGGAACACGGACTACAGTTTAGATATAATTAAGTAGACGAAAAAGATAACTACACTTTCTGATAGAATTAAAATTATGTTGAAATATAATAAAAAAATAAAAGATTTTAAAAAAGTATATATATATATAAATTTTTTTTTTCAAGACATAAAAAAATCTTCAGATTTCAATAAAATTGTATTTATTTTCATTCAGGTTGCATACAGAGAGAGAGAGAGAGAGAGATGATGTCAACAAGTGCGTGAGGAAGTTGATGGCACTCCCTCTCACTATGTACAGAGGACGTTGATTACCAATCGTACCTGGCCAGTTTCATCCTGGTGTATTTTCCACCAGTCCATCAGGACAAACAATGAGGTATTAATATATTAAGAAAATTAAAGATTTGTTAATATTCTAAAATTTACTTTACTTCTATACAATGTACAACTTGAAATAAAATCATTTGGTATGACTTTAATTTTAAATCAATTCTTCAGGTTGAAGGCTGGCACACCAGGATGAGCCTCCAGAAGGCCTTTGCAACTAGTGTCACATTAAAAAGCATAATCCCTACTGGGTTAAATATTGACTTGCATTATAAACTAAGTGCTGCATTTGTAGCGGTCTCAAATATGCTACTTTATTTAATTCGTAAATTGACATTATTTTTACACTTTTTGTATCTTTATCCTTAATGTGTATCTCAATTACCCCACATGTCTATGTTATATACCGCCTGCTGATTGCCATATTAATTTATGTAACTGATACATTGACTCCTAATCTTAGGGATCCAAAATATGAGCTCCTTATTGTCAGGAGCGGATCTTTAGTATAAATACCGCGCTGAAACTGAGTTAAGGGGGATTCAGTACTATGACTTTGACACTTTGATTATAAACTTCGCTCATGTTACTATTTGGATTATATAACTTAGATATTTTTTGTGATTGATATTAGTGATTGTATATGGTTGTGAGATGTGTAAATAAACTGTAGAATAGATGAACTTGAGTCTCATTTCAAGAGATGAGGAAGGATTTTACGCTACCAAAATAAAGACTTAATTAAATGCGACCGCTCGGTCGGCGCTACACATTACTTTTGTTTCCAGATTTATGGGTCTTCGTAGACAAATGTCAGATAATTTCTTGCCAGTAGTAAGTCACTTTTCTGTATGTTGTATCCGTCTCCATGAAAATAATAGCTTTAAGGAGGTTGGATCCTGACATCAAAAGTAATGAGAATTTTTTATCAAGTATATTTTTAGAATTTATACACATACCTTAATTAAAAATCAAAACAGAAAATTGGGGTCGATGCGCTTCTTTTGGCGCTACAGAGCATTTAGTTTGACCTTTTTGCACTGTAAAAACGTCTTACACATAAATCATTTTTTAAAGTTTTTCCTCCGATATTTTTTATTCAAATAAGTTATGGGAACAAACACAGTTTTATTTCATCTTGAATAGACGCATTAAAATTTTTGACAACGAAAAAAAATTTAAAGAACTCCGCACGTTCAATTATTTGACCTTTTTGCACTCAAAAAATTTCATTTTGCTATCATTACAAATTTAACAAGCAAAAAACTCATTTTAAAGTAATGACATTTTACTGAATTTAAGAAGAATGGTTAAAGGTATCTTGTATATTCAGAAAAGAAAGTTAAAAGTGGGGGTCTGTGATGTTAATTTTTAAACATTACTAAAATAGTGCTAATTTTGAGCTTAAATTCGGGCTATTTTTTTCTTGATTTTCACAATATATTTGATTTATTGATCAAATATGATGATTGAATTCATGACAGTTTATTAAATATATAATTTAGGACCAGTATAAAACAGTTCACTGCTCAAAATAATTCTGTCTGCAGACTGCATGTAAAAATAGGAATCCAAACTAACATACTTTAAATACTTCGAAAGCGAAAAAAATGATCATTTTCTTCTAAAAAAACCTTCCGCCACAAAATATAGTTCCTCACTTAATGCTTTTGGTATGGAATTTAATCATGGAGTTTTAACTGAATCTAGTTTATTTGGCATTGTAGAATCCAAATTTCTTGTAAGAATTAAAACATTACGCAGATTTTTTTAAATATAGGTTAAAATAAAAAACTGCTCAAAAGCTCAGGAGCGAACCTCGTTAACGCTTTTATTGATTAGTCAGCCCACGGGCTGACTAGTTACGGTGGGAAGAAACTGCAAGTGCGCTTGCGTAATTTGGAATTCTGGGGAAAAGATGTACACGACTTGTTCCAAAGAAACTCGTGCTATTTGCTCCAACCAAAGGGCGTGATTCTTCACAAACACCCTCTAAGCAAAGACGCGCCTCGATTTATTTATAGACTGCATTGTTCTTCGTCGTTCTCAACGAAAAATTAAAGAAGAGATTGTTCTAAGTGGGAAATATGATACTATGAAAATATTTCAGTGCTTCTTATAGAAGATGAGAAGTTTATATGCAGAACACATTTAACACTTCATATATATACCCTCAATCGCCGTTGCAAGTTCACGGATTTGTGTGTATTCCTCTGATTGCCTGATGCAAGACTCCCTCGATCAATACCTTGCATAAGACATGTACGGCTCGGAATTCACACAATAATCCACTTGCACAAAGGTCCCAAAACAGTGTAAAAAAAGAATCTCTTTTCACTTTAATGATGAAAGTTATGAAAACGTCAGAAGATCACTTAAGATGTGTAAAGTCTTATAATTTACACGATGATAGACATGTAAGTGCCGCTTGTGCACGTGAACCGCGCCCACAGGTGAGGAACTGACCACAGTAGAACTGTGATTGTTGAGAGAAACTGCGCGGATTTATAGACAGCCCCCCCCCCCCCCCTCATTAGAGAGAGTGAGCGAGATGGAATCCAGTATCATTTTAAGGTATACGTACTGTATGTATAACATATTTTGAATTTCCAGTTTATTACTTTATTTTGGAAGCAATTCTTTTCTTTCCTAATAACACTAAAATGGATGCTTAAATTTAGAAACTGAATTAAATATACATGTACATACAGTATGCACCCCTCCCCTTCCCCTCTCATGCATTGCCTCGAACCTGCACTATTAAAAACTTTTATCTAATTATAATTAAATTAACACAATCTAACCCAAGGTCTACCTTCCGTTTAAGCATCATAATCTATATCATTTATAGAATATAACTAAAAATGAAAATGTATACATTCTTCAACGTTCAATGATTAGGATCATAGTGGCTTTGTTCATTTCTGAGACGAACTTTATCTGATGTCCGCCCCAAAAGATATTAATTGGAAGTCATCATAATGATCACGATGTAACCTAACTAAAATTTATTCTATGCTTTATTATTTATTATGTACAGCATTATTTACAAATGAGAAAACGACTGGGTGAATTTTAACTTAGACGACACTGACTTTTGATGAACACAACATGATGGATAAAACAAATCATATACCATCACAAAACAAGAAAGAAACTTTCTGTATTCCAGTGGCTGACTCTCAGCTTTTTTTTTAAAAAGCTAAACTTGTAGTCTTCAACGGTATCGCCTACGTATTGTTACGATTACAACAGAATTAAAACACGTACGCCTTACCTTAAACCATGTTTTACGGAGTCCTAGTAACTCCTACAAATACGACGGTTTTGTTTGAGCCGAACTGCCAATATTCTGGATCGACCTGTCGTTGGGCTGACACTTCTGACTTTTGTATAAGTCACGAATTAGTAGTACTTCATTTTCAATTAGAAGAAGAGCTTGCCTGGCGTGAACAAATTATTACTTTGCTAGGTATTCAAGAAAGTCACGTCCAGGATGATAAAACGCCTTTGTTATGGAATAAAAAAATAATCTAGTGTTTATTATCAATCGGAAAGGAAACTGATTTAAAAACATTCTATATATTTGTTTCCTTTTTTAATAAGAGTAAATATTAGAACACCGTTTTTAGATCTATTGGTCAGAGACCAGAAGAGCTTATGCGATAGTAAGGTGTCCATCGTCCGTCTAGCTGTCTGTCCGTCCGTCTGTCTGTAAACAATTTTTCAAAACGATACTCCTCCTACAGTTTTAGTCTGATTTCAATATAACTTGGCACACAAGTAGACTCTACTAAGATACATAATTTATGGCATTGGTTTTTGATTTCAATGAAAGATGTTGTCATGGTTACTAAAAATAAAAATTTCTGTGAAATTCATTAAAAATGCAACTCCTCCTACAGTTTTGGTCTGATTTCAATATAGCTTGGCACACAAGTAGAATACACTAAGATACATAATTTAGTGCATCGGTTTTTGATCTCGATGAACGGTGTTGCCATGGTTACTAAAAATAGAAATTTCTGTGAAATTCATTTAAAATGCTACTCCTCCTACAGTTTTGGTCTGATTTCGGTATAATTTGCCACACAACTAAACTACACTAAGATACATAATTTAGTGCATCGGTTTTTGATTTCGATGAACGGTGTTGCCATGGTTACTAAAAATAGAAATTTCTATGAAATTCCTTTAAAACGCTACTCCTCCTACAATTTTGTACTCTTAAAAGAAACTTAAGTGATGAAAATTACTTTTGAAATTATTATTTTAATTTTTAAATTAGGTGAAAACCTTGCTGAGGCAATTACTAAAGCTTTGGATCAATCGAACACACCAAGGACCTCGCTCTTTATGGTATCAGATAATGCAACAAATATAACTAAAGCAGGAGATCTACTCAAGTGTGAACTCCATCTTGGATGCTACGCTCATACTCTAAACTTAGCTGTTCAGAAATGTTTGGGAGTCCAATCAGTTGCACGTCTTCTTGCCCGAGTCAGAAAGATCGTTGGTTTTTTCCACAGGAGTAGTGTTACATCTGCAATGCTGAAAACACAAGCATCTCTGTTGGAACTTCCTTATCACAAACTTGTTACTGATGTTACTAGGTGGAACAGTGCATATGAGATGCTTGATGGGTATATATCTATGCATGCAGCTGTATTTAGTGTCCTGGTAAGCAAGGATCTTAAAAACAAGGATAAAGACTTAAAGTTTCTCACTGATGATGAAACTACCCTTTCTGAGGATATTATTACCTGTTTTAAACCACTGAAGGCAATGGCCACAACAATGTGCAGTGAAACAAGTCCTACAGCTTCCATTATTTTGCTTATACATTACCAGCTACTTGATCATGTTCTTCTCCCAAAAGAAGGTGACTCTCCAACAATAGTAAACATAAAAAAAGTCAATGTCTTTGAATCTGAAAGAAAAAAATACGATAGTAAACTATAATTAACTGTAGTTTACTATAGTTAACTATAGTATCAAAGTAAGAACTTTGGAACTTTGACTAACCATAGTGAAAACTTTGGAACTTTGGTTAACTATAGTAAAAACTTTGGAACTTTGATTTACTATAATAAAAAACTTTAAAACCTTGATTTACTATAGAAAAACCCATGGAAGTAATGTTTCTGATTTTCATTCTTGATATTTTAGGATATTTAATGTTCAAAATTCATAAAAGCTTCAGAGAACTTTTTATAAACCCGATCTTTCCCCTAAATGAAGGTACAAGAAATGAATTTTAATGTAAGGTTGTCTGTCGCGCCATAGATGAGCAACATTTTAATGTATTTAATTTAATGCAGATGCAGTGTAAGTCTTTTTTTATGGATAATGGACAATAATAAACTATGAAATAAAATATGCGTCATTTAGAACTAATATGCCTTCTCCATCAACTTCAGTAAAAAGGTAATTTTTTTTTATAATTTATAAATGTAATTATTGCATTTGAATTAACTGATTTGTAAATTTAAAATAAAATGCACAAAAAAACCCAGACCCCACCCAACCTCATTTCCATCCCCTTAAAAACGGTAAAATAAGCAAAAAATTATTAAATACTTGAATCAGTTGATAAACTATTGTGAAAACGTTGAAATAGTACAGTGATACTTTGAAACTTTGATTTACTATAGTGAAAACTTTAGAACTCTGATTCACCATAGTAAAAACTTTGGAACTTTGATTTACTATAGTGAAAACTTTAGAACTTTGATTCACCATAGTAAAAACTTTGGAACTTTGATTTACTATAGTGAAAACTTTGGAACTTTGATTCACTATAGTAAAAACTTTGGAACTTTGATTCACTATAGTAAAAACTTTGGAACTTTGATTTACTATAGTAAAAACTTTGGAACTTTGATTTACTATACTGAAAACTTTAGAACTTTGATTCACTATAGTAAAAACTTTGGAACTTTGATTCACTATAGTAAAAACTTTGGAACTTTGATTCACTATAGTAAAAACTTTGGAACTTTGATTTACAACAGTGAAAACTTTGGAACTTTGATTCACCATAGTAAAAACTTTGGAACTTTGATTCACTATAGCTAAGTATAGTAAACTATAGTTAAATATAGTTTACTATAGTATTTTTTGTTAGGGATATGCTACAAAAGAAAACATGTTGAACAAAGTATCAACCCTTGATCCTCGTTTCAAAACACTACCTTATTTACCTGAGGAGGATCGATTGTCAGTTTTTGACACATTAGTGAGGGGGCAGGAAATCTTTCTAACACGAACACAAAGATTACTGAAGACTGAGCCAGTGAACAATGCTGACAATCCACCCATTCTAGAGATTCCTCCTCTGCCTGTATTGGCTACAGTTTCAAATGATTCTGCTCCTCACCCTCCTGAGGAGAATCCTATTCCTCCAAAGATCATGAAAATTGAGTCAAAATCGAAACCTTCATCTAGTACCCTTGGTGACATCCTTGGTGATATTTACATAACTAAAGTGCACCTTTGAAAAAGTCTAAGCTTCAACAAGCAGAGGATGAAATATTGCAGTACAAGAGCTGCCCTGGTATCCCAGTGAATGCTAATGCATTAAATTGGTGGAAAGAAAATCAAGGACAGTTCCCAATTTTGGCTGTACTTGCTAAAAAGTACTTGTGCATACCAGGCACAAGTGTGCCATCCGAACGTGTCTTTTCTACAGCGGGGGACATAGTGTCTGTCCAAAGGGCAAATCTCAAGTCAAAGCATGTAGACATGTTAATTTGTTTTAAAAAAGAATATGTGATTCAGTAATTGTGGAGTACTTCAACTCAGTTTTATTGAATCTTTGGAATCTAGTCATGAAAGTTGAGGCCTAATGAGCTTGATTTATTGTTTTTTGTTTACCTAGTAATGCTAAATGACAGAACTTCAGGTTTTTAATGAGCAAACACTCAGATTTCTTATTTTATTTTTTATCATTTTAACTGTTATTTCAATTTTATATACAGTAAAGTGTTCTGTAAGTTGTTGTAGTGTCATATTTTTCTATAAAAGAGTAAAGAGTTCTTCTAAAATAAATAAATTTAATACAATTTATTAGTTTTTAGCTCTACTGGTCAGAGACCAGGCCCCGCCGTCACCAAAATTTTATTTACCTCAACCTCAAATCTCAACTCAAGTCACTGAGGTAGCCTCAACTGAGATTTTCCTCAATTCGCCGTCACCAAGCGGTTTGAGGAATACCTCAGTTGAGGCTGAAAATTTACACTTAACTCAGCTGAGTACGTACACAGAAAATTTCGAGCGATTTCGCGGATTTTTTACGCAATAAAATTTTGTCGTCTGTGTTTGTATTTCTTTACAATGGCTGAAAAAGAGATAGAAAGTTTAATATCTTCGGCAAAAAGAAAGAGGGATGCTAACTGGTCTTCCGAGGAGGAGATTGTATTAATAGAAGAGGTGCTAAAGTTTGAGGAGCAGTTATTTGGCAAAATAAAAGGGGCAGGTGTAAAGGGGAAACATAGCAAAATAAAGGAGGAAACGTGGCAGTCTATTACGGACACACTCAATCTGTAAGTATTATAAGGTACATGTATATCAACATTCAACTTACCCGAGTTGCTCTTGGGTAGCCAGATGACTCGCTATTATCTCCCTTAGTAGGAGGTGTATGCACAAAATTTATCCTCGTTTATTTCAGTCCTATACATGAAGTTTTTAATTTCTTTTGTGTACTCGATTGAGACTTAAACTTAAATCAACATATAAAATAAATTTAACATATACATTGTACTTAATGAATACATTTTTCCTGCGTAATATTGCTCTTTCATCAGTTGTTTAAATATCATTGTTCAATTCAATTAGTTTATTTACCAATTAAGGGCCCTCATGGGGCAAAAAGAAAGTACATTGTAAATTAACATTTATGTATAGTCATATACATGTAATACAATATACATACACACAAGAGAGAAAGAGTTGCATGATTGATAGGACAAAGACATAAAAAAGAATAAATCAGATAGTTTTCATAATATGCATGTACATAAATTCTGCACAAATAATATCATGCATGTGCATGCAATATTAATGCTTCAACGAAAGTTACTTTGTGTTATAGGCCTATGACTGATTGAAAATAATCAATATCTCTAGTGTGTAAGACCAAACCGCCAAGTTTTTAATTCTTCGAACTCAATTCTGAAAGTTAAAACTTGAAAGGGGGATGTCATTGTAACACACTTCTCATATATGTTTCTTTAAATCGATTTTACAGTATGTCATTTACATAATTAGTAAACAGAACTCTTTAAGATAGGGAAAAGATAGATACAAAGTATCAAATTTTAGTTGGTTGATATAACTTATTTCGCTTTCAGTGCAACCCAATAAAAAATTTAACTCTATTTTGAATTTTAAAAAAATCAAACTGGCAACGGCTTTTAAGAGTTTAAAACACCAAACAAGCATCACATTAATTCCATGTAATTTTTAAAATCATTATATTTCTATTTCCTATATCATAGGAACCCTGCTGGAATATATATGTTAGAATACTAAAATATCTTTTTCAGAGAAGGATCAATGAATTTTTCACTTTTTTGTAAGTAAGCGCTGATCCAATCGACCCCCCCTCCCCGACTTAATCAAAACAAAGGTTTTAACTGCCAAACATCGGAATAATTCAGGTTATTACATTACATTCATTTATGTGTCAAAATATGGTACGAGAATGACAAATTCTCATAAACTTATGATGGGCTTCGATCGCCTCTGGGCCCCCAAGGGCACCTACACCCTTTACCATCTAATAGCGCTTCCTCTATCGCAAAACCCTGGATCCACGCCTGCAGTGGATTCGATTTCATTTGTCCCATATCGGTGTATGCTGAATTGCACCGGCATTAACAACAACACTGAACACTATACAATTCCTATTGCGTGATATTTTTATGCCATTTGAATGATCTGCCCTTGAATCTAAAATTTAAATTAACTTAAATCTATACTGTTTACTAATTTTTCAATCCTTCAAACGTTCTTAATATTTAATTAGGCCAAGGTAAATGATTTTAAAAACTTTGCATATATTTGCCCCGTTTTAGAAAGGAACATTGGCTTTTGTACATCAATACCTTGTTGTCGCCAATGGTAAATGACTGGCATCCTATATTGATAATGATATTGAAAAAAAAAATGTATGCTTGTAGTATAAAGTGTCCTTAAACGGATTAGTAGTTAACAAAATGTAGAAAAAAGGAGGGGGAAAATATTCCCAATAATAATCAATTTACCTTGATCTACATGTATCACTTCAATATTTAAACGTTTTTTTTAATTATTATAGACAATTCAGAAATGAAAGAACATCAGATTCAATTTCCAAAAAATATGACAACATAAAACAAAGAGGTAAATACTGTATTGACTATTCAACATTTAAATCGATGATTTTGAGAGAAATAAAATTAAAAAAAAAAACTTTTTAAATTGTAGCCAAAGATAAAATTGATGGAATTCGTCGCCCGAAGACAGGAGGAGGTCCACCACCGGCACCAATGACCCAAGCTGAGGAGGTCCTTTACCAGGCCATGGATACGCGTCCGAGCATTGTAGGGTTGATCGGTGGGATTGATTCAGATGGTAATAATTATGTTTTATCGCATCCCGCAAAACCGGGTCGTTCTGTAATTCAAAGTAACTGTTGGTGTTGGTGTATGCGAAGTTTAAGTGAGAAGTTAATGAGAAGGCATAATGAACAATTATTTACGTCTCTGTCATATACTTTTAAAAGAATGTATACATCAAAATAGTGTTTTATCTAATCTTTAATCTAATTAAGCATGCAATATAATAATTCTTCCATGTTTATAGTAAATATGCTTAAGTTTTAAATGACGGGTCCCGTTTTTAAAAAGAAAATTATTTCAATATTTAAAATTAAAAAAAAAACTTACCTTATACGCGTATATCTTTAGTTTATAAAAGTTATAATGATATGTGATAGCTATCTGTTTCCTATATTTTTTTGTGCACTTAAGGGAATCGGTGATAACGGCAAAAAGTTATGGCCACTTATTCTTCGTTTCTTCTGACCTCATTTTTTTTTTCTTATTATTCAAGAGAAAAATTTTCATAATTCTGATTTGACTTGTAGAACCATTTATATTTTCTAACCAACAAGAAGGGATTTGTCAAAGTTCCGCTTCAACAGCAGTGACAGGCGTCGTTTGTGATGAGGGAGGTGCTGGCGGCGATGCTTCAAGTTCATCTAATGGTAAATAAACTATTTAGGATGATGGGTTTATTAAAAAATGTAAATACAAATATAAATTAAATAGACAGTAAAGGAAAAAATATATGTAGGTTTTATTATATACATGTATTTATACACAGAGAGACGTTCTACGGAAAAAAGGAAGAAAAAGAGGGCACATAGAGATATCCTTGAGGAGTTGGAAATTGAAAATCTGAAACTGGAAAATGAGAAATTGATGCAAGAAACGAAGAAGCTTGGAATAGAACAAAAGAAATTGGAAACAGAGGAAAAGAAATTGCAAATTGAAATTGAATTTCTTGAAATGAAGAAATCTTATTTAATATGCAAACTTAATTCTGAATTTCCGGAATGTCTGTTGAATCCAGCAGGCATATAGTTAATCAAATCTGTAGTCTCCTTTCAACGAGTTGTTGGGGATCGTAAACTTTTGATTCAAGATTATCTGGGCAGCATACCAACAAATACAATAATGCATGTATCAGTAAAATTATCAAACTTATTTATTTTTGTTCAACCAGTTATTATTTCACGTGACAAGTGTTGGTTTTTATCGTATTTTCAAATTAAGCTGATGTTCTTTGGATGACTTGCATGACCTGAAAAAGAAGTTTAATCTTAGTGTCATCGTTTTTCATAATTTATGTCAAACACACTACATCAACTCTTAAATGCATTGAAATCTGCATATAGTCCCGTATTAACCGGGAAAAGGGGTGGAGGGATGGTGTGCATCCCCCCCCCCCCCCACCTTCAATAATTTTGACAGTATATATTTCTACAGAACAACCCTAGTTGCTAAATTACAATTCAAAATTCAAAATGCTTGTTTTCGGATTTTTTACATGTTGAAAACTTATCTATACCAAACTATCATTAAAACAACGAACAAAAAAATGTTTTTAAACCTCTCTCAAATTGTTGGCAAAGTGCAGATTCCCGCAAGATCCGACTGTCGTGTACGCTGCCAGGCCAGTTGGCACAAATGCTTGTAAAGCGGAACTTGGCATCACAAACCAACTTATCATAGGAAATAAATAAATAAAAAAAAGTAAGCATAAAAAGAGGACGGGGGCTGTGTCGAAGTATTGTCAGCCCCAACTTAGTTGCAATTCAAGGCCTTTTACAAGCAAAAAAGGCCATAGCATACAGATATTCCAGACTTTGGGATGTATTTTAGTATTCAAACCATGACTATAACTATGACGAAGGGGGCACTTTTCACTTTAAGTTATAATTGAGAATTAAATGTCCCAAAAATAAAATTATCGCTTAATTAATTAATTAATCTTAAAAATACTGACCTGTACATTCAGCGAGTGATAGCCTTTTCTGTTAACGAAATCCTGTTCATTATTAGAGGGAGCCATAATTCTAACGAAAGTGCCATCTACACACCCAAGGGCATTTGGGAAACCTATATATAGAAAAAAGAAATATTAATAATAAATATTCTTCATCAGTTGTCATTGCAATTTTACTATCATTGGTCAAATAAAATACAAATAGTATCGATAAGCATTAGAAATATAATATATAATAATATATGATATATTTATGCAAGCTATTTCAAAAATATCCACATACAAATTCTTAACTTTGTTCCAATATTTTTCTAATTAACTGATTTTTAATTTGACAGACACCCCCCCCCCCACACCCCTCCCGCAAAAGAGGACAGAAAAGAGAACAAAAATATAACTTTTTTTCTTATGACTGTCAGATGCAAAAAAAAATGGTTTTAAAACAACTGTGTCGTTTATATAAAACACATTCAAGTATGAGTTTATTTCTTGTTGATGACATTAGCATTAACTTTTATTGATCTTTGCTAAGGAGTTGGACTCAGATTCATGTACATCATGCTGGGTATAAATTTTCTTGATTCTGCGCATAAAAATTAATTGGCTCAAGTCAGACAACCTTTTTAAGAAAACTAACACTTGTAAACAAACATATTTTTTAAAGGGGGGTCAACCGAATGATACTCTGCATGATATAGACGACGATTCCGGAGCACGAGTTACTCATTGTGGATTCTAAAAAAAGAAAGTAGAAAAGAAAAACAAGCAGAAGTAAGGAACATACCAGCTATTTTGATGAATTCTTGTTTTGTTTGCCTTGCCTTTTCATCTCTGGGGAAGCTGATAAAGTGCCATCGAATACCAAGGATTGCATCTGTCACAGAACGACAGCATCTCCCAACAGTGGACTCAGATACATGCATACTGTCGCCTATAAGCTTGTGGTATGCTCCAGTGGCAAAAAATCTTAGGCATGCAAGGAGCTGCAACAGCGGGGGTAAGGCATTGTTTTTGGTACTTTGGAGCAGATTTCTGCCGATCATATCTAGCAAATAGAGAACTGTTGCCCGACGAAACCGATATCTTTCGAAAATCTCGTCGTCATTATACATCTCTAAGGGATTAAGGCGGTCACGGATGACTCTTTTTGAGGGCCTATTTCGAAGCAAGTTGTATCTCCGGCGTCTTCGTCTTCGTTCCGCCATATTTAATTTGCTTGAGTGTAGGTTTAAGGTAGAGTCTAAGTTACACTTAATTATTTGAGTATTTCCTCAAGATTGTCACTTGAGGAAAACTCAGATTTATGTGGTGATGGTGACTTGAGGATGAGGTAAGTGATTTGAGGGAAAAACTCAGACTTGAGGCTGAGTTTTGACTTGAGGAAAGTTGGTGACGGCGGGGCCAGAAGAGCTTATGCGATAGTAAGGTGACCGTCGTCCGTCCGTCTGTCTGTAAACAATTTTCAAAACGCTACTCCTCCTACAGTTTTGGTCTGATTTCAATATAACTTGGCACACAAGTAGACTACACTAAGGTACATAATTTAGTGCATTGGTTTTTGATTTCGATGAACGGTGTTGCCATGGAAACTAAAAATATAAATTTCTGTAAAATTTCTTTAAAACGCTACTCCTCCTACAGTTTTGGTCTGATTTCAATATAACTTGGCACACAAGTAGACTACACTAAGGTACATAATTTAGTTCATTGGTTTTTGATTTCGATGAACGGTGTTGCCATGGAAACTAAAAATATAAATTTCTGTAAAATTTCTTTAAAACGCTACTCCTCCTACAGTTTTGGTCTGATTTCAATATAACTTAGCACACAAGTAGACTTCACTAGGAGACATGATTTAGTGCATCGGTTTTTGATTTTGAAGAATGGTGTTACCATGGTTACTAAAAATAGAAATTTCTGTGAAATTCCTTTAAAGCGCTACTCCTCCTACAGTTTTGGTCTGATTTTAATATAACTTGCCACACAAGTAGATTACACTAAGATATAAATTTAGTGCATTGGTTTTTGATTTCGGTGAACGGTGTTGCCGTGGTTACTAAAAATAGAAATTTCTGTGAAATTCCTTTTAAACGCTACTCCTCCTACACTTTTCGTCTGATTTCAATTTAACTTGGCACATAAGTACACTACACTAAGATACATAATTTAGTGCATCGGTTTTTGATTTCGATGAACGGTGTTGCCATGGATACTTAAATTAGAAATTACTGTGAAATTTCATTAATATGCTACTTCTCCTACAGTTTTGGTCTGATTTCAGTATAATTTGGCACACAAAGTACACTACACTAAGGTTCATAATTTAGTGCATCGGTTTTTGATTTTGATGAATGGTTTTGCCATGGTAACTAAAAATTGAAATTTCTGTAAAATTGCTTTAAAACATTACTCCTGCTACAGTTTTGGTCTGATTTCAATCTAATTTTGCACACAAGTAGACTACACTACGATACATAATAGTATATATCAGTTTTTGATTTCAGTGAACGGTGTTGCCATGGTTACTTTAAATAGAAATTTCTGTGAAATACTTTCAAAATGTTACTCCTCCTACAGATTTTATTTGATTTCAATATAACTTGACACACAAGTAGACTACATTAAGATACATAATTCTATTTATTGCTGCATGTTGCTAAGTTTCAAATCAGAGTGCTACTTTTCCTTTACCTACAGACCAGTAGAGCTATAGTCTCATCAGAGACTTCTGGTTATTCACATTTATTAATGTAAATGTATCTGCAATATATCGCAATATATTGCAATATTCAAAGTAAAATATTGCAATATATCGCAATATGGTTTTCACCCACAATACCTAACTCTAACTACAAACCGTTTAAAGGAAATTGCAGGACTGCTTTTTGTATATCTGAAAATAACATATATCATCATTTAATTTCCTTAACGTTATACGCCACGTACGGAAGCGTAAATGGCTCTACACTTGTTGTGTTATAACTCCATACATAGTCTTACTTTTTATTGTCTTATTAACATATAATGTGTTATGACTATTTACTTTTACTTATATGTTGTGTCATATCTAAATATTTTTACATAATTTAAAGCGTTTTTTTTCTGTTTGATAGATTTTATTGCTAAAAGTTAAATCGACAGAACAAAATATTGATTTGAAAAATATTGACATATGTACGAGATTGAATTCTATCGATATATTTGATTATACATGGAGCAATATATTTTTTTTATATATTGAGATATTTTGACATAAATATGTCGATATATCCAGGGAGAAGTATTGGTACTGAAATAGCTTAGCGGGCGCGGGAATTCCTAAGACCATGACTTCATTTTACTGAAGGGATTCATAGATAGCACATAATAATGTTCATGAGAGAAAAAGAAATTAAAAAGATCTCGGAAAGTAAGTATATACAAGAATTTGTTTTGATTACCATTCAAAGATATGTACATTTTTTATTTATTAAGGCCTATTTACACGGACTGACTTGTAAGATGTGATTTCAGATGTGATTTCACATCGGACTCCAGTGTTACATTTACATTGTATGATTTGTCAGATATGTAGTTCACTAATATTTCCTTCAAAATTTCTTATGTTTACAATTTAACAATGGAAAACGGCAATAACTTACTACCTTTCCATTTCTTTATGAAAGCAGCTTATGTACCATTTGAACACAAAAAGTACTGGTTAGGGCATGACGCATATTATGCAATAAGTAAAGAATTGGGCATGGAAGACCAACATTGTGTCAATTTTTTTCAGATAAATTTACTTCTTAGTATTAGTTGTTAACTAATTCGTTTGTTTTGTTTCACTTTTATGGCATAATCAAATCAAGTACACGGAATGACATTTACTCCTCCATGCATGATTTGGCCATGTAATATATCACATTAATCTTAAAATTATCTGGAGCTAAAGTTCGGGAAAAAACCATGTGTGAATTGTGCCTAATTCAGATTAACCTTTCTGACCTTGCTGATGATTGGTTGACACCATCTGACTTGCCAGACGGAATAGAACATGATGTCTCTGTTCCATCTGACTTCATATCTGGCTTATGATTTTCCTATTTACACGGTATGATTTGTAAGATGTGGCAAGTCACATCTGACAAATAGCAGTTCTGATTCATTTGATCCTGAGGGGGAGGAGAGAGAGCGTTTGGGGGAACATGTCATTTGTAAGTAGTACAATTCTCTGTTATCCTTGGATTTTCAGTACAAATATGCACGTGTGTACCATATATAAAAAGCCTCGCTAATTTTAAGTCTTTCCTTTGCTAACAGCCTAGAATAGATCAATCAGTTGTGGATCATCTAATTAAAAATTGGGGGTTCTTCTGGTTAATTTCAGCGGGAGATCATTTATTTTTCCATATATATGCCCCTTATTTATTGGCGGATTTAGAGTGGAAAGCCCCATTTTGTGTCCAGAATGTGTGTGGCTGTTGGTCCCAACCCCGACCCAACACTGCATCCCCTTTTTTTCAACATCCCTGTATCCGCCACTATTATTCCTCATGTTTTTTTTAACAGTTATTTGAAAAGAAAAAGGAAATCGATGGACAAATTTTTACAAGCATAGATAAACAACTTATTTTAACTTAAAACAGTGTCCTTTATTATGTTTTCCGATAAAAATTTAATAGTATTTTATTACTTTATTTTTTAGATATAAAGCATATTCTTAATTTCATGTTGTGATTAGTGCTCTTTCTATTAACGTGTCAAAATTTATTTATAACATGATTCAATTTTGGAATAAAAATAATTCTGGTTCATACCTTAAACCTTAATTTCATTTGAACGCATGCTTTTGTTGTTGGTGAAATCAATATCGGGAGTTTTTATTTTTTTTTTGGATGAAATTTAAAACACTGCAACTTAATGCCTAAAACATAAATGCGACATTGCTTCCAAAGAAAAAATTCTCCATTGACACGCTTATTCATTGCATTAAAATTACAGATGACCAGCCTACTGACAGGAATCTGTTTATTTCATTTTATTTCAAGCGTATGCTACATGGATCAAACAGATCAATCAACTGATACAACATTATTTTCATTTGGGATACAAGTATAGCGAGGTCATTGGATTTATGTTTTGTGTCCATGGTATAGCATTGAGTTTCGGACATTTAAAAAGAGTTCTGCGTCGGTTGGGTCTACGAAGGAAAAATATGGAAAGTCCTTTGATTGTAATCATAGAGACTATTATTTTTCTCCATCAAGAAGGATATGCTAACTTGGGATATAGAGCAATGTGGAAATTAGAGAATGTTGTGTGCAAAGTCAGAACAACGCAAGAAACAATTTGTAAAGTTTTAAAAGCAATCAGTCCAAATTTTGTGGCTCAGAGGTCTCGTCATCGTCTTCAACGAAGGTTATATTGCAATAAGGGACCTAATTTTTTAATTCATATTGACGGATATGATAAACTGAAACCTTTTGGAATTAGTATCCATTGGGCAATCGATGGATACTCGAGGAAAATCCTTTGGCTTGAAGCATCAAATACAAATAACAACCCCAGAATTGTTGCTAGATACTACATGAACTACATATGAAAACTAAAAAGAGTCCCTCGAGTTGTTCGTTCAGATCATGGAACTAAGAACGATATTATAAAGGATTTTCAAACATTCTTTAGGAGAGACCACACAGATGCAATGCATGGCGAAAAAAGCTTCCAGTACGGATCTTCCACCTCTAATCAAAGGATAGAGATGCTCTGGAGTTTTTTAATGAAAAACTTTACACATTTCTGGCGAAATATTTTCAAAGATTTGAGAGACAGAGGACTTTTTAACGATGCCAACCCTGAGCAGTGTAACTGTCTGCGGTTTTCTTTTCTCCCCTTAATACAACTGAGGCTTGATTTATTCAAACATCTATGGAATACATATAGGATAAAATCGCAGAGAAATTCTGAAGTTCCCTGTGGTATACCAGATGTGCTATACAACCAGCCTATTATGTATGGAGATGTAGAATGTTGCTTTAGCTTACCATATAGCAGCGAAAATCTTAACATTTTAAGTGATATCTGCACTGAAGCGCCTGAAGAAAGAGGATGTCCGAATAGTTTTTGGTGCGAACTGGAACGTCGTTGCAATGTAAACCAAGACGAAGTTAGAAGAGTTATTCCTGACAATGTTCCTGACGCATTGCTTTTATATCAAACCCTT